CCTCTTGGTGTGTCTGTTTCTTCAGCCAAAAAGTCAAAATAACAACAGTACCTGCTTCACAGGGCTGTCATGAGGATTTAATGAGCTCATATTTGGGAAGCGCTTAGAACAGTGCCAGGCGTGCAGCAAAATGCCACAGAGGCATTTGTTAAGCGAAAATAAAAGTGAAATGACATCACTGGGCCAGAATCTACCAGAGCCCCTGCCACAGGGTAGCTGCTCAGTCAAGGCGGAACTCAACCACCCTCTGTTTCATGACAAACTTGGACCAGCCTGGCCTGGGAGGGAGCGGCTGCCGGGATGGATGGGCTGCTTGGTGACAGCGCTTTCCAGGAGAGGAAGCCCTGGGGAACACAGCAGGCACGGCGCTCTAGTTCAAGGGCCTTGGAAGGTACCAGGTTCTGCCACCAACTCGGTTCAGCTGGCGCACTCCCAGGGCAGGGACGTGTGGCTTTTCGGGTTAGCCGGAGGAGGAGCAGTTGCCGGGCACCCTGGCGCCCACAGGCGGTGGCTGCTGCGGCGGGCGAGGGGACAGCCCGGAGCTCCGCCCCCCGCCTCGCCGCCCGGAGTCGGCACGGAAAGTTACTGCGTGCTAACGTGGCAGGAACGACGGAAAGCCCAGGGCTGCCAAGTGCTGAAATCCTGGGCTGTGTTTCTTACGCTCACAGGCACGGCTCTTCTGAGAATCTAGTCTCTACACGTCCCCTGCACATAACTGTATTCTTTCAGCAGTTACTATATTTTGGGGCAGAGGGAGGAGAGGGAGGAGAAGAAAGTTGAAGGGAGTGGCAGGAAGGCATGAGCCAAGATCCCACGTATGATTTTTTTTTTTTTTTTTTGCCTGCCCTAAGATGCATGTATATTCTCACCCACTGTACTGTGTACCGCGGAACTTTCATCTGACAGATTAATAAAAAAAAAAACCAAAAAACCAAAAAACAAAACCAACAACCAAACTCCTCATCAAGTTCAATTCACCAGAGGCTTCCTTTTGTCTATTTAATCATTCGTTTTCAGCAAACATTTCCTAAGCCCCAGTTATCTGTCAGTTACCCAAGTGAGCCCTAAGAACCCCGAAGTCCAGGATGGAGACAGACAGTCACTACCACATGAAGGGCTATTGGCGTGGGGGGCTGCCCGGCAGAGAACTGATTTCTGCCAGGTGGGAGAGCCTCCGGCACAGGCCTGCCAGGGAGTCTTGTTAGCCCAGAGCTTTGAAGAACGACTCCCGCGAGGAGGTCACCAGGTGAATGAGTGGCCTAATTAGGCTGTGATGTACATTTATCATCTTTGTCCCACACCTGCTTTTTCAAGTGATGCTTTAAAAATACAGAAACAGATGGTGGGTTGGAGAATCGTGTTGTATCAACAGTACATTCCCTGATTATGATCCCTGTACTGGGATCATGGCGGAGAAATACCACATTCGTGGGAAATCCAACCTGAAAAGAGGTAAAGAGGCACGTTTTCTTTATCTCTCACCCATATATATATATATATATATATACATATATATATATACACACACACACACACACACACATATATACACACACACACAAGTATGTTTCACTATATATATGTGTGTACAAATATGAGAATGATAAAGGACATTTGGGAGTTCCTTGGGCAATGCTTGCAAATGTCTGTAAGTTTGAAATTACACCAACATACATTAACACAAAATTTTAGAGTATTTTAAAAAATACTAAGTTTTAAATTTACCAAAATGACAATGCTTCTTCTTGCCATTATTCTGAAAAGGATCAGCGATAATCAGAACATACTTTGGTCAGGTGGATACAGCTACTGACCCAAGGCCCTGGGAACTCTAAGGAGTAAGGTGTCCTCTACGGTTCTCCTTTCTGCACTTTCTTCCCTGAAGCCTTGAGATTTGTGGGATGACAGGGTCAGGACAGTGGGGAAACCCACAACAGGTGCAGTCTGTACAGGCCCTAGGAGGGGAGGGGCTAATGGATGATGCTTGGCTCTCTGCGGGAAGGACTCTCCCCCACCTCGTCAAGAACCTAGAAGAAGTGGTGGCCCCAGGAGTGGGCAGTCTGCTTAGGAAGTATTTGGGAACTATCAGACAATTCTGCTGTATTTGCTTAAGATGCATTTTCAAAGGCAGAAAGTAAAATTTAATAATAGTATTAGCAGCAGCTCAGATGGATCAGGTAGGTACTATATTCTTTGCTAACTAGGTGACATGGATATCTCATTGATTCCTCATCACCTTTCTGTGAGGTGCAAAGTATCTATATTCTCATTTTATAGATGGAATAACTAAGGCCCAGCTAGTCAATGGTGGAATTGGATAGAAGTGTGGGTTGCCTAGTCCCTGTACCCGGGCTCTTGCTCACAATATTACACTTCTATAGGCTCTGGTTACTACTGGACCTGCAGAGGGCCTATGAACTTCAAAGGACACGGAACAGGGAGGGAGCAGGATGTTTAGTTGGGGTGGTGAGACTGCAGTGACGTTTATTTTTTTTAAGACGTTATTTTTTTATTTGAGAGAGAGTGAGAGAGAGCATGAGAGGGGAGAAGATCAGAGGTAGACTCCCCACGGAGCTGGGAGCCCGATGCGGGACTTGATCCTGGGACCCCGGGATCATGACCTGAGCTGAAGGCAGTGGCTTAACCAACTGAGCCATCCAGGTGCCCAGTGATGTTTATTTTTATTTTGCTCTTCTGTGTTATTTGTGTAATTAATAATTTTAAAAATTAAAAAAAAAATTCACCCTATTGATTGATAATTCCTGACCCAGCTGATGAAGGTTTTGATACGTATACCTAAGACAGAATCTTTACCACTAAATAAGTTAGTTTCTCTGTCCCTTGGTTTCTGTATCTGAAATAGGAGATAATGTTTGCTAACCTTTCCTTGCTAAATACCTGCTCTCTGGTTGATATTCTGTGTATGGTGTGTGTAGGATATGGGGGGTGTGGAGACTAGGGAGTGGGAAAGGGTGGGGAGGAGTAGGATGGGTGATTGTTAAAAAGCTCTTTATAAAAAGGGCAGTTACTCACTGGTGGAATCAGGCATTATGCATGAGGCTGGGCTGGGCTTCTTATTCACAGGGTACTGTCCAACATTGGAAGGAAACAGCACTCCCTCCCCTTATCTTCCTGCTTTTTTTCCTTCTCCTTCTCTGCCTTCTTCTTTTTCTGGCCCAGAGGAAGTGGTGTTTTGTCATATTTATACATTTTCTGGGATCGAGAAGACTGGGACTCAGACCAGAAAGCATGTGAGTAGCCTGAAGGCCTGAATATACCTTTTTGCCTCCAGGGACTCAACCCCTGACATCGTTGAACGCTTTTGCCACATTTCTATTTGCTGCTTATACACAGATGATTTACTATTCACTGGAAATGCATCCACAAAAGGTTAAAAAAAAAATCTGAAGTAACCAAAGGGACATGCTACTCTGGCTAGAAACGACGTTGGTTGGTTTGTATTCTCTCCGCAGTCACCTTTCAGACAATCCGGACAGAAAGCAGACATTTCATTTCTGTGCATCACCCCTCTGGTTCAAAGATGCTTTTGAGAGAGCCAAGGGAATGATGATTTAATGCTGTCAAGTGCTTTGAGATCTCAGACAAAGAAGCTCTGTAAATACCAAGAATTACTGGGCATTATCGGCCCCAGTATCAGTCCCCTCAGTATTATAAGGGCTTTGGAAAAATTAATGAAGAAATAGGTCCTGGCATACTGGCAGGAGCAATTGCTTCTGGAAAGATTAAGAGACCCTCTACATTGGGGAATGTAAGACTTGGTGGAAAACTTTCTTTCTTTCTTCTTCTTCTTCTTCTTCTTCTTTTTTTGCAAATGAAAATCACCAAAGATGAAAACCCACTGCAGTATGAAAAAAGAAAGAATTAAAGCCTTTAAAAAAAAAAAAAAAACAAAAACCATCTCCAGTGGGGAGAGGGCAAGCCATTGTGTGCGTGCACATACCTGCACGGGAGATGATGAGAGAGACATTCAGAGAGACAAATGGGAATTCAGAAAAAAGGGCTTTTGCTCATTTGTTTATATTTGCTACAAAAATAAATCCTTTTTTAAAATAAAAAAAAAAACCTATGCATTCTGTGTTGGTGAGGGTGTAATCACATACATTCCTGTTAGACACGTAAACTGGTAAATTCTCTGTGGAGGGCCACTTTGTAATATCCAATGACATGACAAATACACTTTCCCATTGTTCTAATAATTCCACATCTAGAAGTTAATCCTGCACATCGATCTGCACATGTGCAAACTGGTATATGCTGGACGAGACTCAATGCCGCACGGTTTGTATTAATGAAGCCTGAAAACAACTCAGAATTGATTAGGAGGGGATGAAATAACTCTGGCGTACCCATAAAATGGAGCATCACACTGTTGCTAAAAAGACTAAGGCAGCTTCCATGCCCTCATGGAATTAGTTCTACGGAGGTAGTGGGAATCAAAAAAATCCTTGCACAGAACAGTGTGTGTATGTCTACATGTATGTGCGTATAGATGCCACTTTGTATCTTTGGATTCATGGTGCTCCTATATCCACAGAACAGATTATTTCTGGAAGACAGCATTAGAAAGTGGTCACTGGCTAAAGGATAGGGCTTACCTCTATTTTATATCCTTTTTAAAAAATTGATTGATTGATTGATTTGAGAGAGAGAGCATGTGCGCACAAGTGGAGAGAGGGGCAGAGGCAGAGACAGAGGGAAAGAGAACCCCAAGCCCACTCCCCACTGAGCACAGAGACCTATATAGGGCTCGATCCCACAGTTCTGAGATCATGAGCTGAGCACAGATCAAGAGTCACTCAACCGACTAAGCTACCCAGGCACTTTTATATCTTTCCGAATACTGTATCACATACCCATGTGACCTATTCAAAAAGAAATAAACTAGTGTGTGTGAAACCACTGATGTAGTGACAAAGTACACCTATGAACTTTGTACCATCTTCTGGGGGTGGAGCTGGATGAGGCGTGTCTTCAGAGCTCTCCTACATTCTTCTCAACACCAGGCTTCCCACCCTCCAACTTCTCCAGTCGCCTACAGCTCAATTCAGGGTGAGTCAGCTTGGTGCCTGGGGCCTACCTCTCCCCACACCAGGAAATCCTTGATCTGTAGCAGATCTCTCAGACATAGATCAGGGTGAGCAGGACCTTTCCTGTAGGACTGACACAGGAAATGATCCCTAAGGATTATGGCTCTGCCAAACATATTTGCTGCAATTCTGACCAGTGATAATTTTGGGACTGTCTTGCGTGTGTGCGCGTTTGTTGTTGGTGGTGGTGGTTGCAAGGAAAAAAACCTCACTAAGTGAGGGGATGTTTATTGTAAGGATACTTGTGGAGTAGTAAGAACAGCACAGTTCTCATGGGAATCCAATAAGAAGAATGAAACAACAACTTCAGAAGAACAAAGATGGGGCACTCTGGGGCCAGCACTGTGCTAAGTGCTTTGTGGCAGCAAGGGACCTCTCTCTTTCTCTCAGAGACGCTGCTTGTCTCTGTGTGCTTGATTCTCTGTTCTGACAGCAGCTGGCGTGTTCACTACCCGTTGGACTCCCTCACTCCCTTACTACACCAGCTTCCACAGGGTCCTCTGAGGCATTCTACTCAAGGTTCCCTCTGCTTCTCATTTGCCTTCTAACTGCCTCTTCCTCTTCAGACATCCTGTTCAAATTCCCATGAGAGAGAACTTGAGAGGTCCTCCTTCCCCTGGAGGACAACCTCTTCCTTAACCGTGGGTTGCCTCTCCCAGATCAGGTTCCCAGGTGTTTTCATTCATCTGTGGTGAGGGCCACTAGGCCTCTTGGAGTTAGTCTTGTTCTTCACTCATCAATTTCCTTTTCGAAGAACTGACCTCAAGCCAACCAGTGGGATACTGGGGATCCAGCACCAACAGTGCCAAGCCTTTGCTCTCAGTGGAGTTGCCTTCTACCTCCTTCACCTGCCATGATGGGTGTGACAGACTTTCTGGCCTGTCCGGTTTGGAGACAATGGACCATTACTGACCACTCAGCTCTTGCCTCAGTTCCCTAGTCACCGCCTCTTGTTCTCTGCATTCATGTCCTTTCCTGGCTATCCATCTACCCCCGGAAACTGGGGCCGTGCCTTGCCCCAGTGTACTAGGGAGTCTGTGGTGACCACACAGATGGCCTCCACAGCTGGGTGGAGAGTGATGGGAGGGAGATCTGGTGGGCACTACTCAGAGGCCCTGTGGGTCAGCTGCCTTGGGCCGTCAAGTTCCAGCCACAAACAATGAGCTTGCTAACTATGGTGCCGTAATTTGTCAGTGAATACCCAAGCTTTTATCCCCTTTTCATTCTTTCTCCCTTTTATCAAAGGTAAACTGCTTGAAAGGATTGCAGGCCTTGTCAAAGGTGTCAAGGGCCTGAACCAATCTTTTCTAGGCTTGTCTTCTACATTCTTCAAACTCCTAGCGATCCTTCAAAACCTAGCTCCAGGCACTTCTCTCCTTGGTGAATTCTTCCCTAAATTCTCAGACGTGCCCTCATTTGGGCTACTTTTGTACCTGGTAGGCAGTTTTGTTGTTGCCCTTATCATGTTGTACTGCAAATATTTATTTAGACGTATGTTTTCTTTACTGCGGTATAAACTCATGAAGGGCAGGGACCATGTCTCGATAATTTATTCATTTACTTTTAATTAAAAAAAAAGATTTATCTATTTATTTTAGAGAGAGCGCGCAGGAGCAGGAGAGGCGAGGGGAGAGGGAGAGAAAGAATCTCAAGCAGAATCTGTGAGGAGTGCAGAGCCTGACTCGGGGGTCGATCTCACAGCCCTGAGATCATGACCTGATCTGAAACCAAGAACCAGACGCTTAACCGACTATGCCACTCAGGCACCCCTCATTTATTTTTAATTCAAACAAATGATTTTAGAATAATTTCTGATTTGTAGAAAAGTTGCAAAAAAGGGGAATTCTCACAGTTTCCCCTATTGTTAACATCCTGCTTCACTATAGTGTGTTTGTTACAACTAACATGGTATGTTCATTCTTAACTAAACGAACTAAAGTTAATTCAGACTTCACTCGTTTTTCCTTAATGTCTTTTTCCTGTCCCCAGAATGCCCTTCAGGTACCACATTACAGTTAGTGGGCATGTCTCCTTAGCCGCCTCCTGTCTGCAACAGTTTCTTGAACTTCCCTTGTTTCTGATGACTTTGACAGTTTTGAGGCATACTGATCAGGTATACTGTAGACTATTGGGTTTATCTGATGTTTTTTTTCTCATGGCTAGACAGGGAATTGTTTATTTTTAAACACCAGTCCTGAGCTGACTACCTAGCATGCACCACCTAGTGTAGACCAGCTTATTGAACTGAATTGAGTTCAAGTATTTCTTTGGCACTTCCTATATAAATAGAACCCTGACTGATGCTTTAGGAGAGATGAAGTGTGGAACTCAAGTCCTATAAAGATCTTCCACATAGCTGAATAATAAAAGACAGCATGCGACCAAGTGTTAAGTAAGGGGAACAGAGAGGAATGACCTAAGGGAGCTCAGGAGATGGACTAGTGAGTGTGAGTGGGTGTAGTCAGCAAGATCGATGTGAAAGAAGGGATTGGAAAGGTAGGGAGGACTTAGAGAGGCTTTTTTCAGTTCTCAAGTCCACCATGCTCCTTCCTGCCTTAGTGTCTGCTCACATGCTGAGCCCAAAGACTGGGAGACATGCCCCACCCTTCTTCCCCCACCGTGGCTGGCAACTTCTCATGGTTTGGGCGTAGGGCTGACTTTGTACTTCATGAAGGACACTATCCAAAAGAGGTTCCACTTGCCACTCTCTCCAGAGACCTTGTCTGTTTTCTTTACATCCTTTCTCAATGTTTATAATGATTGATTATTTCTTTATTGTCGGTCTCCCTCCGTGGAGTCGAAGCATCTTGAGGAAAAGTACTGAATTTTCATTTACTCTGGCAGAACACATTACCCAGCGGCACCAAGTGATACTCAAATTATCTTGTTGAATGAATAAAAGTGTTGGTGTTGGATGAGCCCGACAAGGCATGGGACAAGAAGACATGTGACAGGCACTGGAATGGAGCAAGAGTGAACTGGGTAGGCACATGGGATGCTGCCAGGTCATTCATAAGACTGATCACAATGGTGTCAGGTGATCCCAAATGGGGTGGCATCATTTGGGCAAAGGCCAGCAATGTTCTAGGTGTGGGCTGCACAGAGGTAGAGGCTGTCCAGTAGTTTTCCACCTCAGGAAGGTCAACGAGGGTTCACAGGACAAAGAATGGGGGATAAAGAATGACTAGGGCCAGGGGAAGGGCGGGGGCTAGAGGAATGTCTGCATAAATTGAGAACGTCTCCCATGAATGATAAAAACACAGGCGTTCTTGAGAGGCCAGGAGGTACCCCGTTTAACATCTCTGGTGTTGGCACAAACCTGAGGAGAATAAAAAGAGCACTCTGGATAAAATGGAAGATGGAGACTCGTGATTCTGCGATAGTGTTTCATACTAGGAAAGGACAGCCATCTTCGGACGTGTGAGGAAATCTGGAACAAGGCAACAGTGAGCTTCTGGGCTCAGAATGGAGAGGACCCCACAGAAATCTTTATTTTCCACCATCTTTCCCACACGGTCACAAAGAACAGAATCAATGCATATACTGCCTACCTTGAAAAGTTTGTATTTTCATTCGTATTTAACATTCAATGTTTCATTCAATTTGTACTTAGCATTCAATGTTAAAACACCGACCAAAAGGGGCAGCGTTTCATACAGATTCTGCCTGGAACAACCCCAGTGAGAAAAGGCCTGGAAAACATGTGGCAGAGAAACTCTGAGAGTTGAGAGTATGATTTAAAAACAAAAAACATGGGGGGCACCTGGGTGGCTCAATGGGTTAAGCCTCTGCCTTCAGCTCAGGTCATGATCTCAGGGTCCTGGGATCAAGCCCCACATCGGGCTCTCTGCTCAGAGGGGAGCTTGCTTCTCCCTCTCTCTCTGCCTGCCTCTCTGCCTACTTGTGATCTCTCTCTGTCAAATAAATAAATAAAATCTTTAAAAAAAAAATGGGACGTGTTGTCTTTGTATACCCATATTAATAATTATGATGGTTGAACTCTGCTTATTTTTCATCCAACCTAAGTAATAGCTTTGAAAAAGAAAGATAACCATGACTGTGTACATGGGAGTCCGGAGGGATGGTCTGTGACAAGAACTCCCTAGGTGTCCCGGAGGACAAACAACATAGTCCAGCTGACCTTCCTCTGATGAGGCTGGGGTGGGCAGAGGAAGGCATAAAGAATGATCGCTCTTCTATGTTGGAAAGTCAGGACACAAGATCAGGTCACAAGAACAGGAGCAGGTCTGTTAATTCAAAAACATAACCTTGGAACTCCCAGAAAGTAAGTGGATGAGTTCTGTTCACTAACTTAGAACTCCAAAATTCCTTCTCTCCTCTGGACCTTCCTAGATCAGAGCTATAAAGGACCATATTGGCCTATGTAATCCCTTCATTTGAGAAGGAAGGAACCTGATGTCTAGAGGACATCATAACTTGCCCAGAGTCACCTTGGTAGACAGCGCCTAAGCCAGGATGAGACCTTCTAACTCAGTTTCCCTTCGCAGCCCTAAGCAGCCCGTCTGAGGAATGACCTCAAAATTGGCTTCAATTGCACATTTTGATCTTCACTTTCCATTTATTTGAACATAGGAACACTGTTCACCATATTTCCCCCCGCCCCCGACATATTACTTTTGCAACAACCATGAGGAGGCCGGGGGAAAAAAAAAAGACCACGCGCATTCCCACTCATTGTAATGAAATGCGCACTAGGTATCTGACCTAGACTCCTACTTCCCTGCCAATCTCCAGCTCATATAAATTCATTTCCCTAACAGAAAATCCACGTTGCAGATGGAAAGTAATTTCCCTGCAAATATTACCAGAGAGGTTTATTAGTGCTACTTGACAGTTTTATCATTACTTTTGTTTCAAGCTAAGGTGAAGAAATCTGCATTTGCCAGGTAGTGTGGTGAAAAAAAAATGTAGACTTTTAAACTTTGTGTTAGTTTTAGCATCAGAGGGAAAAGGAAGAAACAAAGAACGAATGTGTTGGCTGCAGGCTGAGTACGTAGCTCTCAGCATTTCAACGGATCCTGGCTTTCCTCCTTCCTTCCCACCCACAATTTTCCGGTCCTGAAACATCAGAGTGGGTTGGAGGGAACCACTCGGCCTGAGCAGCCAGCTCAGAGGGGGGCACCCGAGTGACTCTGCAGGACCAGCTGGTAAACACAGCTTACAGCTAAGCCAACTGGGAGCAAGGTAACTTGTTTTACTCTTCTCTGGATTTAATTGAAGGTGGTTATGCTTTTATAAGAACCTTATCATCTAAACATTTCTCATTTAGATAAGGAAACTACACAACAGAAAGACAACCAAAAGAGCATTTCAATAATAGCCACTTACGTGTATTTCATTAATAGCTGTTTACATGATAGGGGCTACTTTTTTTTTTTTTTAAGATTTTATTTATTTATTTGACAGAGAGAGATCACAAGTAGGCAGAGAGGCAGGCAGAGAGAGAGGGGGAAGCAGGCTCCCCGCCAAGCAGAGAGCCCGATGCGGGACTCGATCCCAGGACCCCGAGATCATGACCTGAGCTGAAGGCAGAGGCTTAACCCACTGAGCCACCCAGGCGCCCGATAGGGGCTACTTTAATTCACGTTTTATTGGCTACGTATTTTCTAAAGGGTCAGATAATCTTGGGTATAGGATTGCCAGAAAAAGTATAGAATATCTGGTTAAATTTAAATTAAAAATAAATAACTCTTAAATGTAAGTGTGCTCTAGACATTGCATGGGACCTACTTTTATTCTTGTCAATCACACGGGGTCCGTTAACCAGCCAGTTTATTTTTTATCCAGGTTCCCTGCCTCGTTCTTTTTTGACCTTTCAGTGGCTTGATTTTAGGACCCCCTAATAGAGAGTGGACAGAGAAATATAATTTGACCACATTGGGTGTCCTACTTATCATCAACTGGGACACATGTTTGAGTAGGGGAGGAATTTAATATACTGGGTTGAAGATAGTGATTATAGTGAAGATAGTGATTAAGTGATTAAGATTTTCCCTATTACCATATACAGAACTAGCCACAGACTGATGTTTTTGAGTTCAGATCTTATAGACCAGTAAAATGTAAAAAGTAAAGGAAAAGAAATTGTGACATTGTGGAAGATGGATATATTGTTGCCAAGTTTAAATCTGATCAAATAAAAATGTTAAAAATACCACCACTGCCATCTTCGATGATCATTAATTCATTAAGGAGAGTGACATTTGAATACCCCCAAAGTAGGAAGGACACTCTCTTAGAATGAAGAACAATGCTTCTTAAATAAAATTTGTGGCCTTCCAATGTATAGCCCTGGGTTTTGTGAAAACTCTGCCATGTCAGCCTGGTTCTGGAATCTGAGAACACCCAATCCAGGTTAGGCTATAGCAGCCCCTATGAAAGGACAGTACCAATATCGCCCGCCCTCCAGGCTTGTGCTGCTAGGAGTGAACCACAGAGCACTTTCTTTCTTCTTCTTCTTCTTTTTTTTTTTTTTAAAGATTTTGTTTATTTATTTGACAGAGAGAGACACAGTGAGAAAGGGAACACAAGCAGAGAGAGAGGGAGAAGCAGGCTTCCCCTGGAGCAGAGAGCCTGATGCAGGTCTCAATCCCATGATCCTGGGATCATGACCTGAGCGGAAGGCAGAAACTTAAGGACTGAGCTACCCAGGCACCCCACAGAACACTCTCAAGGAAAGGAAAAGGAAGGTGAGCACAGCCAGCTCAAACTGTAATGACTTGAAGTTACTCTCTCATTTAAGTATTTTATTTCCGAGAAGCATATTATTTGTGTGGAAGTATTACACAACTTTTCTCAGACCATGAAGCATTTCCTCCACTTACACTACATAGAAAACTTTTCCCTAAGCTTTTCTAAACTTCCTTGGGCTCACAGCCTGAGCTCTCTACTCTTCTTCCTCTCTATCTCTATAAAATGAATGCTTCAGGAATTGAATAATATGACATTGAACTGAAGAAGCCCCTTCGTCAGAATCCAGAAGTCTTTAAAACGACAGGTAATTAAGCCTCCTGGCTCTTGTGAACTGGTAGAATGTGTGACCCTGGCCAAGAAGAGTTGGATATTTGCCAAAAAGCAGGTGCAGTGCTGGGAGACCAAGTCCCCAAGTTCAGAATTTCTATCATCCTCCCCATTATACACAAGGGAAAACGCTGGTGTGAAAGCAGAGAATTGCCCAAAATTAACAGAGTCACTAACAGAAATTAAAATCAACTGCCCAACCCAAGCCTTGTATCTAGTTTCTTCTATCCTTCTCTTGCCCAAGAAACACATATAAAGACTTTTTACCAAGAGAACGTTAAATAGGCTGAAATCCAGTTTCATATGCCAAAGAGAGATTCAAAACATTATTTACCAGTGATCTCCAAGTATCCTTTCCTTCACCCCAAGGCCACATGAGGTGGGAAATTCAGTATCCTTTTCTTTGAAAATGGGCTCTTTGAAGCAAAGAATTAGTCATTAAACACACACACACACAATCCCACTCACACGCACAAATACTTTAAAATATATGTTAGAATGTGCTTAAAGAAATATGAAGACTACCCTAACTTTTAAAATATTTTGATATAATTTTATGTGTTTTTTCCAGTCATAGGGTTATTTGGTGTCTTTTGATTCTGTTATGTACCCAGTTTTTTTTTCACTTTTTAAATGTAATATTATTATATACATATCTCTCATATTGTTATAACTATCCATAACTTTATTTTAAACGACATATCATATGAATCATATGAAAATAATTTTTTATCCCCCAACTTTTAACAAGTGATGATCTCTACATTAGGGCAATGGCAGACAGTTCTTTTTTTACAATCTATTTTTCTGTAATGATGGTGTTTTTAAATGTAATTATTTATTACTTTTATAATAAGCAAAAAAAAAAAAAACCGAAGATAGGAAATACCTACACTCCCACTAAAAATCACTTCATCCTGAATTTTTAGGAGGCCACTTTAATATCATCTCCCAATTGTACCTTCTCATAGTCCTATCCCAGACCTGCCTGAGAGATTCCCCAGGACCACTTGGGGATCCCAAATATTTGCATTTCTGAGAGAAGCAGTTGTAGGACTTTTTTTGTTTTTTCTTAACTTCCTAAATCCCACCTTTTCTGTAATTACTGAAGCTCAGGTAATTTCTCCTCAGTCCTACTTAATATGGGCTTGTTTTCAGTTCTCTCCTTGTGTTGTTTGCCTTACTAATTCTGATGTGATTATTTTCTCAGGCACCACTGAAGAGAAGAGAGCGATTTTGGCTTTGATTCCAGGGTGATGTTTCACAGAGCGTCAACTCTTGTTCCAGGTACTAGATGAATATCTCACTCACTAATTTCTCGCTGTCTCTAAGCCATGAACATTTTGGTTATAAGTCTGGAGCCCTTCAGACACAGTTTGCCTCCTACACAACATGTAAGCTAATGAAACTCACGAAGTGAGGCTGGGCCTTCTGCCTCGCTTTAATGGCTTCTGTCACCTAAGGGCCAAGCTGCCACCACCATGACTCTGCATTTTGAGGGGCTGCCTCAGGTCAACAGCAAGAATGTAAATGACCAGGAACCTCAAATTGCAATTTAAAGATAACTGTTAGGTTATACTCTTCCCGCAGGCTTCTCTTCCTCACCAAAAAGTTTGAGAATAATGTGGTATTTTTACTTATTTTCAGTGGAAAGAATATTAAACCTTAGGGTGATGGTGGATTATTGCTGAATTACATGTTTTAGTCCGACTAGAATAAATTATAGATTTTTATTGGAGGGGGAAAAAAGGGAGCTCCAAATCTGCTCCCCCCCACCAAAAGAGTCAAAAAAGTTAGATTTTCCTAGTTCCTGGGTTCTAGGTATAAATAAAAAGATAGCCACAATTAATAACATGATAATTAAACTGTAGGAAGTTGTAATCCTTAAAAAGGTGTTTCTGGATAGGTTTCAAATACATTTGCCTCTACTGACTGAAAATATGTTTTCTGCAATTAGAATGCAACTCTGACACTTAAAGGGGAAAGAACACTTTGAAGGGCTTTCCAAAGGACATGCAAAGGACCGCGATACTTTCATCCAAGGATGCTGTGTGGCATCACGGAAATGGATCAGAGACTCAGCCCTCCATTTCCTCTGGAACAGAAACATACTGAAGATTATTTGGGTACATGAGTTAAGCAAAGTACACTCTGCATGTTGCTTTTAATTTCAACATAACAAAGTAAGACCTTGGACTTGGCTGGAGATGGATCCTGAGCCTTTTCATCTTCCATCCTCTGGAAGTCAACAACAGGCAAGAGTGATGGCCCTTTAGTTCCTCTCCTTTCAGATCTGGTTCACTCAGAGGTTGTGGTGGTGGTGGCAATAGTAGTGATGGGGTTTGCTGCCCTACAAGTTACCATTTTAAAACACCAAAATATGTTGTTTAGATTAAACATGCCCTCTATTTCTCGAATGAACTCCTTGGGGAAGTGTGTTCTTTGCATGTCCAGGTGTGGTCTACAAGAAGAGGGCTGGAGAAGCTCACCTAGGTCCTTCCAGGAACTATTCCTTCTCTTCATATAGAAAACCCACGATCTCGTCCTTTTCAGGTCTATCTTCTCAGGCTTGCAAGAAGAGGTGAAAGCAACCCTACCTCACCACCTCCAGAATGGTGTTGAGGAAGGGTGTTCATACTCCCTGGTTTTACGTGGATCAAGCGTGGGAGAAAGGAAAAAAGAGAGAGGGAAACTAAACCTGGAGAAAGAAGAAGAGAGGAGGGCGCCTGGGTGGCTCAGTGGGTTAAGCCGCTGCCTTTGGCTCGGGTCATGATCTCAGGGTCCTGGGATCGAGTCCCACGTTGGGCTCTCTGCTCAGCAGGGAGCCTGCTTCCTCCTCTCTCTCTGCCTGCCTCTCTGTCTACTTGTGATCTCTCTGTCAAATAAATAAATAAAATCTTAAAAAAAAAAAAAAGACGAGAGGAAAATAGCTATCCACCCCCCCCAGAACACCCACATAATTTTTCATCATAGGATGCTACTAATTTGTTAATAATTTTCTTGATAATGGACATTTAGGGTGCACTTAAATTAATGTTTTCTGTGTATGCATAAATCTTAGCATTTCAAATCATTTCTTTAGGATAGTCTAACAGAAGGAGAAATACCAGGTCAAAGAGTATAATCATTTTTCAGGTCTTTAATACATAGTACCAGGAAGGTTGTACTAATTTATAGTAACACAGTATATCAGTGTCTTCTTGAAGCTCTCACTGCATTGATTAAGTATTTAAAAAATCTTCGCTATTTTGTTAGGTCCCTATTATTTCACTTCATATTCAGTGGTGAGGCTGGAAATTGTTTACTGTATAATTAGCTATTTGTATTTTCTCATCTATGAATTGCCAGTTCGTGACCTTTGTCTCTTGCTCATTGATTTATAGTAACACTTTATAAATAAAGGTTATTTACTTTCTTTGTGTCTCAATTTTGGGAAAAAATACGTTTTCTAACTAATTTGCCTTTTGTCCTCTAATTTTGCTATGATTATTTTTGACATACAGACATTTTATATTTCTCTATATTTCAACTTTACTGACCCTTTACTCAGCGATTTCTTCCACTGCTTTAAAGTATTGAAAATCTTCACCCACCTAGACCAGATAAATATGCAGAAATATATTCCTTTAGTTATTTAACTTTTCAAAAATAACATTTCTTTAATCTACCTAGAACTTGCTACGTGGTATGAGAAAAAAATAATTCTTTTCCTGATAAGCTAGCAATTACCATGGTACCACTTACTGACTACTCTTCCCCACTGTTTTTATATGTATTCCATATATACATATTTCAGGCTACTCTTACATATACAAGATTATATTTGTGGGTTTTCTACTGATTTTTTAAATATTTTATTTATTTATTTGACAGAGAGAGACACAGTGAAAGAGGGAACACAAGCGGGGGTGGGGCAGTTAGTGAGAGAGGAAGAAGCAGGCTTCCTGCTGAGCAGGGAGCCCCATGCAGGACTTGATCTCAGGACCCCAGGATCATGACCTGAGCCGAAGACAGATGCTTTATGACTGAGCCACCCAGGTGCCCGTCTTTGACAATTCTTTCACCAGTAGTTTCATCACCCCTATTTTTTTTATAAGTTCTTTTTTTTTTTTAAATTATTTATTTATTTATTTGACAGAATGAGAGAGAGAGATCACAAGTAGGCAGAGAGGCAGGCAGAGAAAGGGGAAGCAGGCTCCCTGCCAAGCAGAAAGCCTGATGCAGGGCTCGATCCCAGGACCCTGAGATCATGACCTAAGCCGAAGGCAGAGGCTTAACCCACTGAGCCACCCAGGGACCCCTAGAAGTTCTTTTAGTTCTTATACTGAATTCCTTCAACTTAAAAGGTGGCCAAGATGATGTAAAAGAAAACTGTTTAAAGAGAATGTCTGCCTTCAAAGTTTCAGGTCTTAGGTGAAAAAGAGTGTGTTAGTTCTTCCTGTGTCTCTGAAGGATGGGGCATATGCTATGACACAGAAAATCAGAAAGGATCTTCTTGTTTTCTTGATAGTCATGGGAACAGTAAAAAAAAAAAAAAAAGAATTATATATCTTTTTGTTCATCTCAAGCAAAGAAAACTTCCAGTGAGGAGATTAAGACATTTCATGCTAGAAGATCATCTCTGCTTGGGCTTCTGGGGCACCGGTAAAGATTTCAAGCATAGATCTGAGGAATATTGCCAGAAACAGTCATAAAATGATAAACGAGGGAAAAATTGAATTACATTGGTCCTACTAGGGTTCAACAAGGGATGTGCCAAATAATTTTGTTTTGTTTTGAAGGCTTGTTAACAGTGAAATCTTAGGGTGTTGGGGTTTTAGGTGACCTTTTCCTTTCTTTTTAAAAAAATTTAATTGTGTTTCCACCCCACCCCCACCCCCCTGCCAAACTGCATAGGTTCCCCCCGCCCAATAATGGCCTGTTAATTAACTTCTGGAACACAGTATTGGGAGCTTCAGTTCCAAGAACTGCTATGGTACAAAAAGTAGATTTTCTATTTCTTCCTCTCTTTTCCTTAATAGACACAGCAACACTAAAATTCATCTCATTAGAAGAGATTTTGTGAAAATGAGACAGGACATTTCTAAACCAAGTGCTTTTCCTCTGTATAAGATTTAACCCAAAATGAAGTTGGGGACTGGAAGGAGGTATGAAAAAATGATTTTTTAACATTTCTATTTCTAAAGCTAATAAAAATTCTTTTACGGTAGGTTTTTCTTTCTTTCTTTCTTTCTTTCTTTCTTTTTTCACTTGACAACCAGAGATTGATACATCTTGTATGTTAAAAAGTAGAGGACTATAAGTAAGTGCTCACTGGAGAGAAATTTTTTCCTCTGTAAATTCGCTTTTTGTGATACACTTGGTGTTATTTTACTGTTTTGAAAATTCCCATTTTTCTTTAACAGTCTCTACTCTCCTGTTTTCTTAGCTCTTCTTAATTGTTCTGCTTTTCAGTAGTAGATAATTCTCTCTGGCTGACCAGCAGTGAGGAAGGTCAGAGTCATGGACAATATACTGTATCTGGTTTAGTCTGGCTCCAGAAAAGCTAAACTGTGCCTCATCCTTAAATTAGTTACTTTAAGTATAAGTGATAATCAGCCTCCGTGGCAATGATTTCATCATACTAAGCGCCTGAGAACACCTGCTGTAGTTTTTTCCCCTCCCCACCCAAGCAAGTTTATCTTTGCTCTCAAACCATCAGCAGCTTTGTATTTCTTTTCCATGCCACATTGAAAAGAAATAAAAATCAAGTGCTGTACATATCACTTAAACGCATAAACAATTATGTCATAGCCCATTTCCCTCTTAAACCTTTCATGCTTGTTTTCCTGTCCTAAAATTACAGTTAAAAGTCATCAAAGTGCCTACAGTACCAGTAGCCTTTTGTGTCGGGGGTAGGGGGAGACCTGCGGACGTCACATCTTTGTTCTACGATGGATGTCCATGTAATTTCTTAGAACAAGGCTTCCAGTGGATAACCCGGTGAGATGGAGGAAACTTCCTTCCACTCAGATACTGTCAGGGCCAATGTGCCTTTCAGGATATTGTCTGTGAGATTCTGAACATTGAAACTGTAAAAAAAATTGAGCTGGACAGATCCTTGCCTCCACTTTTTCTGCTAAATATAGACAGGTTGTCATCAGCTTGCACAAGCAATTTCCAGCTACAGCTCCTCAGGAAGGGAGGCAGGCACAGGGGCTCATGTCTTGGGCAGCTGAACTGCATACAGAGGAGTGGACCCTGACTCAGAGATCGTGAGGTGCAAAGGAAGGGGGCAGAAAGGAAACAGGAGGAAGGCATCTTAGCTTTGGTTAGATATGACGGCACACTGGGGGATCTGTAGCAGATGACGGTATTGGCTCTCACGAAGCATCCATGAATCTAAAGAAAAGGTATGGAGAAGGAGCCCTACCCCAGAGTCTGTACCCAATGTTCCCCTCCACCACCACTTTGGGAAAGAGTATGGTACAGTGGCAAGAGTCTATGAGATACACGTTCCAACAGTCCTGAGTTTGGATCCCGTGCCACCTTAACCTAATCCTGTGTTTGATTTGGAGTTATTTAAATTCTCTGAGCCTCAGGGTGCTTATACGTAAAAGGTAGGTAAAATAATATCTCTCTCACAGTATTATTAGGCTGACTATTAGGATTGAAGTACATGGCACTACTAAGTACTCATCTTATCTTGATGTCTTTCTCCTTCTCTCCTCCCCCTTTTTAAAAAGATAATATTTATTTATTTATTTGAGAGAGAAAGATAGTGAAAGAGAGCATGAACACGGGATGGGGGGAGGGGTATAGGGAGTGGGAGAAGCACAGAAGCGGTCTCCCTGCTGAGCAGGGATCGCAATGCCGGGTTCCATCCCAGGACCCCAGGATCACGCCCTGAGCTGAAGGAGGATGCTCAATTGACTGAGCCACCCGGGTGCCCCTCCTTATCCCCTTTTACACAAATCATTTAAACTTCCCTGGAGTCCAGTTGTTTCTCTCTTAGCAAGTCCTATTGGTTGTACCTC